AAACCCCCCCCCCCCCCCCAAAAAAAAACAACCCATACACATACAAAGAGGGAAAATAAAATAAAACAAACATACACGGGGTTACTGAGGGGGAGCAGTGTCACTGACTTCTATTCTATTCATGATATTCCACCATTATTCATGTAGGGTAATAAATAATTCAATCCTAATATAACCTCATGTAATAATTCTTAGTTACTCCGCATGTTACAATATAACCCTCTGAATAAAGTGCAATATAGACATTGGAATAGTCATCAGGATAGAAGGCAAGGAGTGTTCTGTAATTTGCGAAGTTCCATTAACTGCTCATCACTAGGACTCAGAATCTAATAAGGATGGTATCCAAATACTTGATAAGTTGAAAAGTGTGTACTTGTTTCATTATTCATGACTAGAAACATGCTTCTTGTGATCTCATAGTTTGTTTACCAGCTATTATCAAGCAAGTTGTTCACACGTGATATAATGCACCTAACAGTGTCTTTGAAATCCTATTGATAATATTTTAGAAGACGCATCATTATTCACAAGTGTTAAGAAAGACAAATTGCAAAGATCTGGGGTCCAGTTTAGTTGCAGTTTTAGAATGTGCTAAAGATGGAAAACTACAGATTGTACAAGTGTTTAATAATATAAAGAGAAAATTAAAAGCAAAACAATATTTTTCAATGCAAGTGATCCAAAAACCAAGGATTTTTTTTTTATTCCATAATCAGCATAAACATCATACATCAAATAGAAGAGTAAATGAAAAGTAGTAATTGGAACCTGTTTGGCTATCACTTGTCCACCAGCAATGTGCGAGAAATATATATTGTAAAAGTGGCAGAGAAATAAAGGGGGACTTTTCTCTGCAAGTTCCTCCAAATATTTGGCATACATTACTCCAGGATTACTAGGATGTGGAACCACATTATCCTGTTGGCTAAACCATTCTAAATCTTTGGAAAGACATTCTGACCGTTCTAGTCCAGTCTTTCTGAAGTAAACATCTGCACTAAAAATGGTAGTGCATTAGACGTTAAGGAGAAGTACCATGCTTTCATCATTTGGGCTTGATACAAAATTTGAAACAATTATAGAGATGAAACTTTACCTGGCTCTATTATTAACATAATGTGACTTATGAAGACCCAAGTTTATTTCTGATGTAGTAATGAACTGCAGATATCGTAATGAATTGCAGAATGAGAAAGTAACAACTAGTTTCTTGGTAATGTTGCTTAGATATGATTATTGAAAAACAGTTTCAGGTTAATTTTTGGTAGCTTTTTTGTTTAGCACTGTTTGGTAAGAAATTAAATCTAGATTTTAACTTGCGTCAAAGTCAACAATTAATTTTAACCACATATTTTATACGACTCACAACTTTTCAACCACACATTTCATCAGCTTTTATCAGTATCTACTAAAATTTAATTGTAATCACCCAAAAAAAGGAACTTAACCTTATTAGGAATGCAGCCATATTGGAATAGGAATAGCTATAACCCAAAAAAATATAAGAACTTCATTGTTTTGGTAGGTTACAAGTTCGTTTCTCCAACTCAACAAATTTCATTAAGGCCCTAAATTTCAGAATGTAATTCATCAAATATATATGTTTCAAGAATTGAAATTCTTCCCCTACTTAAAAAAACTCAACATATAAAACAAAATTACATATAAAATCCTAATAGATTTTCACCTAAAGATGCCATGGAAAATAAATGACAGAAAACTAACAGAAAATAAGCCCATACAACTACAAACTAGTGTTATCCCCAAACAAATTTCGGATCTGCTACATGAGTCCTTTATGCCATTCTACTTCGTTAACTAGATTCTTAGTAACTACATCACATTACCTCTCCCTATCCTTTCTTGCTCTATCAAAATCACTTCAATCTTGTGAGCCAGAACCTATTAGGCCGACTGAGAAAGTTTCACAAGCATAAAATTTGGACTTCACTTCCTTTATTGAACTGAAAAAATTGACCACTAATAGATATAACGGTTGTACTACATGTAGATAATAGGTTTACATAATGGTTTATATAAACACGTGATGTGGTAAAATGTGATTGGATCAGAATTTTTTCAATCAATAATAAAGCAACATTATTTAGCCCCACTGAGTTGTAACCCCAATTTAGGTGCCGCCAGTCATCTAGTGGGATCTAGATGGGGGTTGCAAGGCTACATAGCATTATTCAATTAAAAAAAAAAAAAAAGCCTTGCATATAATACATTAGGTTAATGCTGGCGTACAAGCAGCATTATTCTAGATATAATAACATTATACCACAAAAAAAAAAAAAAAAAAAAAAAAACAAGCACACACACAGAGACACAGAACCAGAGAGGAAGGAGCTTACAAGAAACATCACTGGACTGATCAACAATGCGCTCAACTGTGCTAAAAACCAGCTTACTATCCACCAAATACTTCAAAAATCCCTCCATACTGGGCTGCCATGTTTCCCCATTTTGATTATTATCATAATTTTCCTTATCCAATGAAAAATTCTCCTCTTTTTCACCATTCTTTTCCAATTCTTTATCATCAACGGATGAATTCTCTTTCCCTTTCTTCTTGCCATTGTTTCTCAGTTTCATTGCAACAAACCTCATTTCCTCAGTGATACCCTTCATTTCACCCGGGTACTGTTTCCTGTACCTCCGCCGGCGCCTGCGCACTGGTGGCTGACTTTTCCCATTTCCCACCATCCCGGAAGACCCTTCTACTTCTTCATCATAACATTCACTAACACATTCTTCTTCGGTTTCATAATCACTTTCTGAGCCTGATAGCGAGGGTGTCGTGGAGCTTGAGCAGCGAAAACTAAATGGGTTTTTGAGTACACGATTCTTCAATACTGTGAAATTGAATAACTGGGTTTTGGGAATTTTTTGATGTAGTAAAGAAATTGAGGGTTTCAGCAAGGAGGTTCCAGGTGCAGTAGGACACAACCAGCGCGCCATTGCTACACTCTCAACCTGATTTCTTACTCGAGTATGTATATTCTTCGGAAAAAGATCCTGAGCGCGGTCCATATATTTCAATGGATGGTCAGTTTTTTGACCGAATGGGAGTGTAATCCAAGGAGTTAAAAATAGGCGAACAAGAAGATTAATCCAAAGTAATTGATAATTTTTTTGTGGGGGATTAAAATCAAATTTTTAATAATATTTTGATAATAGGTCTTTGTTTGAGCCATATTATTGGAATGAAAATGTATTTTTGAATAGTATATTGATAGAAAATGTGTGATTAAAAAATAAACAAATATTTTGAATTTACATATAATATTATTTTATTAAAGAATGTGTAATTAAAATGATATCAAATCATTATTGAAGAATGTATTTTTTTTCAAATATTATAGCTCAAACAAGGCCTAGATACCAACCATTGAAAAATTATACATCATTAAAATGAACTATTGTTTTTTATAATTAAATTGAAATCTAAATTTTAATTTGAATTACTTTTAAAATAACTTTTTGTAGTTAAATTTTTTTTAGATAAATCTTTTTATTTCACTTTCGAGTAAAAAAGTTGCACCTTTTTCTGATTCTCGGATTCATACCAATGCCCAAAAAAAACTAATTTTATCTTTTAATTTTTTTGTGAAATCATTAATTTTTCAAGTAAAGTTGAAAAGCAATAAAAACTCGAGAACGGATAACCACTTAAAAGAAAATTTTGGATTGGTAAAAGTAGCTTGAATTTTTATTTGACTACATTAAATTAATTTAGATGGTTGTGAATATCGAATCAAAATCAAACTATTCGGTTTCAGTTTGATTCTATGATTACATGTGAAACCACTAATTCAAATGATATGATCTCATTGAATTTCAACTCATTTTGAAACTTTGGGCATGCCCATCTCTTTATGATACTTGAAATTCTTGATTAAAGTTAAATCATTAACGAACTATTCGGTTTCAGTTTGATTCTATGATTACATGTGAAACCACTAATTCAATTGATATGATCTCATTGAATTTCAACTCATTTTGAAACTTTGGACATGCCCATCCCTTTATGATATTTGAAATTCTTGATTAAAGTTAAATCATTAACGTAGTCCGATCACCTCTTTTTTATGGAGAAATTTTGCCCCAATCTCCTTCGCATTCTTTTTCTCTTTCTTATTTTTAACCACACAATCTTTCATAAAATAATATTACATGAAAATAAAAAAAAATTCATTCCTTTTCAACCACATTTTTTAAAACTACCGACAGGGCGGCGTATACTTGGCAGTTTTTCATTTGATATATAAATCAAAAAATAACTATCATATCTATATATCAAATGTCAAATTGTCAAGTGTATACCACATAGGACGACTACTGACAGTCTTCACTACGAATAGCATTACTAAAAAAAAAACATTATTCCAACCATTAAAATTTGACAAGAACGAAAGCCAAACGGGGGCTTTATTTCATAGATGTGATAATTTATTTCATCAGTTAAAAAGGTCAAATACTCGAATGGTATTACAAGAATATCTCCAACCAAAGAGACTTTAATTTGATTTTTTCATGAAACATTCACCTCATCTTTTAACATATTTCTTTCATATGTCAATAGCTAATAAATTCATAGATGAGTTTAATAATTTAAAAGATAAAATATTGAAATTTGGAGCTTTTTACACACAATCATTTATAAAATAAGAAAGAATAAATTTTGATGTCCTATTAAAATGTCAACTCCAATATATATTTTAAAAAGTTAAATAGTCTCTTGAAATTTATATTTAAACATCGACTCTCTAAAATGAACACTTGGTACTTGAAGAGTCTCAAAAATGGTCTAAGAGCGATATCGAACATCCTCTGTATAATTGTCTATCAATAATATTCTTGTTTGAAGCTAAGATAATAAAATGCCATCACAATACACATTACAACCAAACATCTATCTCAGGTTCATATCTCATCACGATATATATCACTTTTCCTTGTCAATTTACTAACAGTAACGTATACAAATGTCGTTATAACATCTTCACAACCATTCCCAAAAACCCTATTCAAAGCTACAAAATCAGTTTAAAGGGAAAAATTAAAAATTAAAAGAGAGCTTCCTCCAATAATTGATCCCTCTGTTATGCAGGGGATCTGACCATACAAAATATCAGTATACAACAAAAATAATGATCAGTAGAGTTGCCAAAAAGACGAGCCTTGAAATTTGTATAATGTAATGATGGCATCCTGTGGTTATTTAGTACTATCTAAAAGTCGGGACCAGGCTGGAGAAGGAAGAACAATCTTTTTATTTTGGCACGTGAGATGGTAGCGGGATTTGCTAGGTAACATAATGGAAATGTATGGGGATGCAAATCCTAAAATGACAGTTCGACCAGGTCCTTGGCCTGAAGGAATGGTGAGCAGCATCTGAACTCTATATTTGAAGGGACTACTTAATATCATATCTGGAAGAATGCAGGCCTCCCGACTCCTGAACTTAGGACAGCCTCCAAATCCAGTCCACAGCATCAACACCATGAATCTGATAACTGGCTAAGCATCTACTTATATACTCAATCTATTCATGTATAATGTGCTTTCAGCTTTTGCAAAAACTCTAAAGTATCTCTATACGAAGGATCAACACGGCTTACAGGCTTGCAAGAGTTTACATGGTCTGTTGAATCCAATACCTGTATGGAGACAGCAAATGGATCTGTAAAATGTTTGGCACATAGGATTGTACAGTATTTAAGGAGTAAAAAAGGAAGAAATATATTTTCCTGTCCTATGCAATACAATCTAGTACAGCAGGTCCTAAAGGCCATGTGCATGCACTACGAAGAAAAGAATCAACTTTACTAAGAATCTCATATTTCGCAAGTTACATATCTAACTAAGACCCTAACGATATACACATCACCTAATAGTGAGATGGGTGTTGAGTTCATTACTGTCGTTATTGACTTATTGTATACTCACAGTATATCCTTTTATGATCATATGTCATAAGCCATAATAGTTTAGAGCAAGCTGGTCATACATTTTATTCTTCTTTCCACAAACGTGATATCAATATGATTATTTAGTAACCGGCTGGTCAACTAAACTAGAAATATACATGCAATCTCTAGCAAAGAATATACGCGTAAACCTTACAGTTTCGTATGCATGTCCAAAAACTTCCTGCCCTAGATACAACTAGACTCCACAGTTTCATTATCACCCAATAGTCTCGACTATATAACCAATAGCAAATTTTTAAAACCTTGAGAGATTGCAGAGTTTATGTACAACAAATTAGTAATGCATTATATCATATGCTTGTCCACAGAATTTTATGACAGTTACGGACCAGGATCACATCAAGAGATGTCAAGCACAATACACAGGAGTTCTAAGGAGACTATCAAAGTCCAGAAAACTTACAACAAGTTCACCAAATCCAGGATATGCTGATTCCATGGGTACAATCTCCATTCGAAAGGCCCAACCTCCATAGCCTTCCACAATTGGAGTTACCTTGGTCTGTTGAAATGTCAAAGAAACGTCAAAATTCCAATTTGCGGATACTCAGAAGAATTCAACATCCACATAATATGAGTACATTACCTCACAAAAACTGAGAACCTCAAGCATCTTTTTCTTTTGAAGACGACGGAGTAAATCATTAAGCTCCACTAACCGAGGTGATCCACTCCTCAGTTCTCCTATCTGGCCATAGCAGAAAAAATTGCCATCAACATGAATTTTACATGCGTTGTAATTTTCAGATCAGAGGCTACAATCCAAGCATAGTTCGGGATAAGTATGGAAACAGTGGAAAGAGAACTCAATATATGAATGTCTCAGACTTACAGAAGGTGCAGGGCGTAACACAAGACCCATGCGCCAAGGCATGTCTGCAAGTTTGCTGCCAAAATGCGGACAGCTATAAAATACCTGAAAGAAACACAAAGAAAATTGTTAAAGAAAATGTAAGTACAGAGCTGTTTATTAACGCGCAAAGTTAAACAGGCATGTCTTTTATTTGGAAGAATGAAACATACAACTCCTACAGTATTGCTTATAAAGTTACTCTTGTTCTCTGCTTTTGCTTGATACAACATCTGCTTGACAACCAGGCCTCCCATGCTGCAGGAAGAAAAGCAGCCATTATATCAGTTACAGATTTAATGCATTTAATCTGCAAATGCTTACAGAATAGCCAATAAATGGATACCATGTGAAACAGAAAAAATTTTCATGTGTGATTAGTGGAGATCTTTTTCTCATTAAAATACTTCATCATATGTCATATTACTGTCCAAATAACTTATTTTCACCCGCGATCTCTTGCTTGGAATATAGTCATGTTTTGAGAAGATCCCAATTGACAGGTTTAGCATTTTTGAACATGCTTTAATGCAACCAAGCTTGAACGAAATACAGTGTCATGAAGTACAGATCAAGTTTTTTTCCCATGCAAGAAGCAGATTTTTTTTATTTTTTATTTTTTTCTCAATTCTGTAGCAGCTTAATCCTCTACTAACTTCTCTACACAAGACTTTACAATCACTATTTTCTCTACCACCCTCCATACATCAGCTCAATCTGCAAAGTTCGGGAATTCATATTGAGACTCGGCCCCATGCCATAAATTGATTAAAGTCAACTGAGATATGCTTGGACCAATATTCTCGAACTCAAAAATTAGGGATCCTTAAACTCCACTACCAAAAGAATTGTAGCACGCAAATTGAAGAAAAGTGAGAAATCACCAATGTGCAATATCAATCAAGACATTAAAATTCAAGAAAATGAGCATAGGACAAAATTAGAATGCTGTCTTTCCTATGAGTTACAAAGACGACAGGCCGATCCCCAATGCCCGCAGCAACAAGTTTCTCTAGCAACATAGAGCTCACTTCCTGCCAAATTTGATAAGGTTAATGCATCTACATAAATCATATAGCATCAAGTAAAATGCACCAAACAGAAGAACTTCCAGAACCATAAGTTGTTCAGCAAAACACGTTGTACAAAACAAAAGAAAATAGAAACAAGAATAGAAAAGAGAGCAGCATGAGTACTTCTTGTGAACTGTCCCAAAACAACTATAATCTACACT